AATCACGGGACAAAAACACAAATGAGGTGACCGCAGGTGCTGTGGGGAGTTGATCTACTCTTGCTGGCCTCACCGCTACCACCTTGAAATTGTTTACCTCTAGGAAATCCCTCTACAATGTCTACATACTTTGCTGCATAGTACATTGTATTATAATGATATATAATGGCAGGGGGCCCTAAGGAACTCATCGACTGTCCTGTGAAGGTCTGCACCAGTGCATACAGACTGTTCTGACAGTATTCCTTTGAGAAACTGTAGCATATTACGTGGTTGAGCTCAGGCAGGTTTTGGTATGTACCTGCAGGGGGCGGTGACTCCTCTGTAGGTAAATTGTGGCTCGGGGTATGGCTCTCCTCCTCCACAAGTCCTGCATCACCCTCGCCTGGCATCCTAGGGACATCCCCTGGTCCATCTTCCACCGACCTGCACGGGATCCATACATACAATCAGACTACTGTCAATACATATCCATGGGTGTTTATAAGGACCGTTTGTCTATTTACAGAATTTCCCACTTATTAAAAGAATGCAGAATGTGTATGATTGCGTTTGCTCTCATTTTCGGCATTTACTGTACGTTGCTATGCAAATAACTTACGTATGTGCCTCTTGTGTGGTTTCATCATCCTTCAGATGAGGCTCCTCAGGGTCTGCTGACTGGGGCGTCCCTGTGACCTGGGAGAAGTGGGGGAGCAGGGTGATCTCCCTACAGAGGAGTACCGGGTCCCGCACTTTCTTCAGCTCATACTTTGGGGTGTAGCTGAATCTCTTGAAGTGCAGGACCAGGACACTGTAGATGCAGAAGGAGAGTCAATGACAAAGGGGAGAGGAACAGTACTGAACACAGACATCTCATTGATTGTAAGCAAATGAACTACATGCAGGTCAATCCAAAAACATCCATTAGTCACACTCTGCACATTACTGAGCAATATGTTTGTATATGTGCGTTTTTCGTATTCATTGGGAAAGTAATCAACTCACCGAGGCAGCGTGAGGAATGACCATGACAGCACAGCCTGGCTCCCACCGCAGGTGGCACAAGTCAGCTCCACCTCTGCGTCCTGTATCAGCACACAGC